ACCAAGCCGATAATTAGGAGACGTATGTATGTATGTATGTGTGTATGTATGTATGTATGTATGTATGTATGCCAGAAGGCCACAGCTAAGGGCGCCCCATGATTTCTGGAGTCACCCTCTCTCTGGGCCCTTTTGGTCCTTTAGAGAGCCAGCTGCATGAGTTAATTAGGCTGCGTACGCCACTGACAGCATGGAAATGCCGAAAATGTATGTATGCTTATATACATTTACAGTTCCACACAGACGCACACAAACACACACACACACACAAATATCGTACACGTGTGGGTAACACTGTATACTATATACTATATACTATATACTATATACTATATACTATATACTATATACTATATACTATATACTGTATATATATATATATGTATGTACGTTTGGATGCAGACATCTAGTCGCATGCGCGGGCACGCAGGTGCTATCATGAAACGCGCGTGAACTGATCCGGTCTGCGAAGTTGTGATAACATTTCTGGTCAGGTGAGTTCCCACACGCAGCTTTGAGAGGATCACTGACTCACTGCCGTTCCCTTGCGCCTTGTCATAGTGGCCGTCTGACAGGAAGATCTCTGAAAGAGCATCCTGGGAATGCGCAAGCGCTCATGTCTTCGCTCTTTTGCCGTTTGAAGGCCCCGAGTGCTCCAACCGTCTCTCTCTCCGCTTCGACTCGACACTGCAAGTGCGCGCATCTTTGGGTTTAGGGTGCGCATGCACGGCTGCGTAAGAACCCTGCCGAAGTCCCTCAGTTGAATTAGTTGAACGCGCCGAGTCTCCCTGTCCGAATCCGTCAGATGATCCCAGTCACCTTGCGCTTGCAGGGCTGGTCTGTGAATTATGCCTTTGACTTCATGTTTGATGCAGACATGTAGATGTGTTGCACAAAGCAGCGCAGCATGACGCGAGGGCGGCTAGGGGGCAAGGCCTGGCACAACTAAGCCTTCCCACCAACCCTGTGCAGAAGATGCGGCTGGGGCGGGGCTTCTCTCAGCACAAAACAGAACTTGCAATCAAGGATGCTTGCGATAGCCCGGAGTGCCGCAGGCTCCACGGTGCCTGAAGGCTATTCGACAGCAATCATGTGAAGTTCTGTTGATCACATATTTATTCCGTGCCAGGTGCAGTGTGAATGGCCTGATCTGTGTCCCAGATTCCAGAATTGGGGCGAGGTAGCAGGTCGGGCGAGAGATCCCTATGCAAGCCTGCCAGGTCGAAAAGAGCTCAAACCCTTCCTGAACAGTCGCCAAGGCACGTGTGAGGCATGCGAGTCTGGCCAGCACCAAATGGCTCGGTGTCTGCACATGAAGCTCCTGCATTCTGGGTAGAAGGAGATTTCCTTTGGTTGGGAGGAAGGTTGGAGTTCGCCCATCTGCAATTGCGACTGCAAAGCTTATCCAGGAGGCTCCAGAGCTTCGGCACGGCTGGCAATGTAGCTCCAGTACACTTTGTTCGGATCCACGCCCTTGGATGCACGGTGAGGCTTGGCAGTTTCGGTCAAGTGCGTATCTTGAGAATGCCCGCTGGTGACACACGACAACTTGCAGATCGAGGCGCCAAGATGTTCTGCAGACACGCAAGGCCTGGCTTGGGCGGAGCAGAATCAATTGATTTTGGTTGTGATGTGATGCTTTTGACCCACCCACGTGAGGTTCGCTAGCGCGTCACAGAGGTCTTCAACGGGTCCCTGCCGTAACCGCACACCCACTATCTTCATACTGCTAGCCCCACGCGATGTTAGCGTTGCTTGATGGAGTTTTCCTGCTAGCCACAGCAAGCCCTACAGCATCCCGACAAAGGTGTGCAATAAGCCGGGGAGTTCGGCTGAGACTGCTGAAGGCAGCTACTTTGTCAAGCCACACCAACGAACAGGCACCTGGCAAGCTCCACACTCTCAACCCTGCCCAGCGCTGCCTTTGAGCACGCTGCGCCCATTCAGCTCGCTGAGAAACATGGAGCCGCGAAGCGTGATGTTGCCCGTGACCTCAGACAGAACGAGCTATATTTGTAGGGCCCTGCAGAGCACTTCCCGACTGACTTGTAGCTCAGAATGCGTGGGCATCGTTTGTCCGTCATGCATACTGTCTCACAGTGCTGACTACGGCAAGCTGTACGTGTTCAAAAAGCGTTGAGACGCCCCCTTTCCTGGGCCACCGCGCTCCACACAAGAGGCAGACTTGCACAAAAAGGAAGGTCCTCAGCGCCCAGGGCCAGATGCAGGGGGAGTTCGACGATCCGCATGCTAGACCTGTGCCCCGATGAGTTTGGCTCCTCTGCTTCCTCGCAACAGTCGCATTCAGGCTGCAGCGAGGCTGCAGCATGTCATGGTGGTATCCGGCGTGATTTCAGACCAAGACTTGATCAATGGTTTCATCGCGGCATATGTGCGAAGCTTTCACATGCTTCATAAGACAGAAAGAATCAAATTTGAGGCGTGAGGGGTTGTGCAGTCGAACTGGCCCTCCATTTAAACCATGTGTCTGGAAGACCTCCTCGCCCTCTTCCTCCAGCGCGCCCTGGCAGAGTGCAGCCCTTGGGTCCTTCAACAGAAAGCCTTTACCTCTCCCAAGTGTCTCGCAAAACAACAGGGACTGCGATTGCCGATATCTATGGAGCGGACAAATATCCAAGCGAAGGCCTGGAGCTGCCAGATGGAGTGAGGGTTGTTTTCCTGGGCCAGCACTAGACCCTCAAGGAGTTGCGGGCACGAGGGCTGGAATTGCACAGCCTGCAAGCATACTGGCCGACGGTCTTGTGTTACAAGTGTGCAAACGGCTGTCGTCACGAACTCCGAACTCACCTCAAGATTTGACACATGTTGCGAGGGTTCCGGCCACCATTCTCTGACAAGGTCGCTCGCAGATGAAACGGCTTGCAGACTGGCAATATGGATATTGCCGACAGAGTACCCCCTGCAGCATCTGAGCAAAGTTGAACGCCCCGAGCATCCGGACCTGCACAGAATCCCACATCCCCCTCAAACAGCACGTCATGTCCAAATCTTCGTCCTGGCCTGGCGTCCAATTCTTGAGAATTCACTTAGCACCGTCAAGTTCGAAGCAAGGTGAGTTGGAGATTGGAGGACTGAAGGAGTGGCTTGAGCCCTTGCGGAGTTTCAGCACCGAGTGGCCTCGACTCACTTCAACCCCGTGCGCAAAAGTCCCAGGCTGAATTTGGGATGCCAACTTCCGTTCAAGGTCTGGTCGCCCCGACTCCCCGGGGCGCACCGTCGCCGCGAGGATGTCATACGCATCTCCGCGGAGATTCGCAATGGATGGCAAGTAAGCATCCTTTGTCTCTGCGCTCTCAGGGAGTAGAGGACGGTGACTGGAAAGGCGGGGGGCGGTCCCACTCAATATCGAAATGGCTCAAGCGCAGCAAAGTAGCCAGGTTTGTCGTGGCATAGGCCAAGACCTTTCAAACGCTGAGACTTCGATGAAGAATGCGACGCAACCGTTTCGTTCCAAAGGCATTGCGCCTGCTCCGGCGTGCGCCGCTCCGATGGAGGACAGAGCTTTGCGAAGTCTGAGTTCTTGCTGAGACCACCTTAGAGGAAAACAGCGCAAGCTCCTTTCAGAGATTTCGAATTCTTCTTCCATGCCATTTCTTCCCCACCCCCTTTCTGGCAGGCGGCGCAGCGACAGGAGGATGAACACGGCCTCGGCTTGATGACTCGCGAGAGCTAGTTGCAGCGGGGATCAACTGAGGCCTTCTTGAAGCGAAACGACGCCCGATTCTACGGTAATTCTTTGCCTGTCCCTGGGCAAAGGTCTGCAGCCCACAGCCCGAGCCGCTCCTTCTTTCCCCGTGCCTTCCGCCTTCCTCTCTTCTTTGCCTATCACTCTACAAAAGCGATGATGACATAAGTGGACGCTCAGTACCGCTCAGTTACCAGGATGTTCTTTGCTGTTCCGGTTTTGGTCCGGCCTCCAAACCACTACGCTTCGCATGTTCGCCGCCTCTGAGGCCGTGCAATGCCAAGTAATGCCTACGTACAAGCGAAAATTATAACTCTGAAGGAGCCGTTTAGACCACTGTTTAGACTCTAAAGGCCTGCGCAACAGAATCGGAATATCCGGTAACTCGCTATTCACTGAGGGATCTCTGTCGCTCCGAGTCTGGCACGATTCCCTTCTTCGGGCCCTGGCATCCGCTCACTAAGAAATCCGAGGAGGTCCCCTGGTACCTTCCAACCTCACGAAGAAGATTCAGAATCCAGAAAACATGCCAACAGAGCCCAGCGGCTTGAAGCTGCGCGTCCTTCATCCGCTTGGCGCCAACGAACTCCTGGAAGGGCATGCCAATGCATGCGGCCGCCGGCCCAGGAGAATGCTTCTTGGGTGCTTTAGCAATATCTGGCCTCGAAGCCTCGAAAGCCAAGAGCCTGACCCTCAATCCTTCCCCTTCCCTTCGCTGCCCCTCCTTGATGAACTCGAAGGTCCTCTGAGACAACCTTGCTGAAGGTACAGTTTGCTGATCAGCATCTGTCGGCAGCGATCATGTCAAGAAGGGTCATTAGGTGGAGTAGTTGTGGACTTTCAAATTCAACTGCAAGACTGCAGGGCGTCACATGCGCAGTGTTGAGCCTACGGGGAAGTCGGAACGTAGATGCAGAGTTTCTCGGCGCACGCTCGGGCCCTGGCCTCTGAGTGATCTTCTGACAGTCGACCATGCTGTTATAGTCGTCCTAAGTCTTTGTGTCTTCTCGACTTCGAAAAGATCGAGAAGCTGCTGTTTCGCACGATAGTCTTCGCAATGAGACTTGTGACAGAGTATGACCAGGTGCTTCCGATGGCCTTAAGACGGGTACGTGCAAGAACAGCAGGCTCAATGCAAGGGGCTGCTTGCACAGCAGTTCCACAACCATGCAAATATGCCGCTCCCAGTTTTGAGCATCCGGCAGACGCAGCAAGTCACAACAGCATCGCAATCTCTGCGGCATGTTTTGAAACTCAACCAGGAGACACTACCAGTAGGTTTCGTTCTTCCAACACCATGTCGATGACATGCATTCTTTTTCTCTGATGGGCGTAAGGGCCACTGTCGTAGCCCCCAGGTGTGCTTTGCCATGTGGCGGATACAGAGCACGGAATTGCAAAGCCTTGCCTGTAAGCTAAGTGCGACAACACTTTGCCACGCAGGGTCGTGGTAGCATGAAATACTTTACCAGCTCGTTGTTGCATCTTCGTCCGCTTATTCCTCTTTCCTCTCTCTTTGTCTTTCGCTCGCCTCCAAATTCAAGCCCGATATATGCCCTCTTCGAAAATCTCAAACCTAAGGCACCAAGCAAGAAGCAGCAAACACGCTCCACATGACTCAACACAGCTGGGGTGCCACCAGCAGCCACAAAGCACTGAGCACGGACAGCAGCGCCCGGTGCATCTCATCCTCCGCCCCAGAGACCCCATCTTGCAGGCTTCGACTCTGCGCAGCCTCTACGGTTTGTGCTCCATGCGTTGCCAGGAATTGGCCAAGACGGCTTGGCTGGGCCGCAAAAGCTGTGGTTTAGTAGCTGGGCTTCGAGTCTTGGCTTACGCTTCCTACTATGTGTCGAGCCCTTCAAGCGTGCGAAAACGAGAGTCGAGGTCTGCACAAACTGCGAGAATCACCGGCAGGTGTGACAGCGTGCGAACTTGAACCTGAGCCACCCTGTCACCTTCCGGTCCTCATACCCGAGCCCCATGTAGATACCATCTTCCCGGAGCTCTGGTATGTAGTTCTTGATGGCGTCCAGGCGCGCCTGCCAGGGTGTCTTCCAGGCGCTCGTCGAACTCGAAAAACTGATGCTTAGAGAGCCCAGGTCCTCGTTGCTGAGACCCGGCTCTCGAATGTCGTCCAGAAAGTCGGTGAAGTCTACCTCCTCGTTAGCTCTTTGGGGTTCGCCAGTGTCGGAAGTGAACATTCAACCGAAACTCAGGTATTCCTATCAAATCAAGTCTGAAGTCTCATACAGAATCTGCAACAAAAAGGCCCCCCACCCGGGAGCGCCCATTCTAGAGGCTCTCCTCAACTGACCTCAGGTTGTGCACCCGTCCGGTGCCAGGATCCAGCAGCTCCTCGCGCCAGGGCCAGCAGAGGTTCCAATTGTTCACCGGTCTTTCGATTCTTCGGGGCGTTGGTCGTTGCCCGTTGTCTGCTGCGTTCTAGCTGGACATCCTGATTCCGAGGCTGTAAGCTACAACGCCCTGAGCCTGAACCTGAAAAATAAATGTGCGGCTGTGAACTCCGGCGGGAGGCTCAACCTAGTGTGGGTGGACTGGGAATTCATGGCACCCTCGTCACCTACCTGCAAAGCCCCCTATACAAAGCAATCCCAAAACGTACAGCCACTGACTTCTGCGGCCGTGCGGCAGCGAGCTGTGTGTGCGTGACACAATCATCAGCCGTAGCCTCACGGATTAAAAGGACAAATGGCATTGCTGCCGTTCTGCTCAACTCTGCATTTGTGTAGCTGTATGCATGTGTGCTATGCATGCATGCATGCATGCATGCATGCATGCATGCATGCATGCATGCATGCATGCATGGGCGTATGTCCGTAGGTGCTCTCCTGTCCCGTCCCATCCCGTCCCGCCATGTCATGTACGTATGAACGCATGTATCATATGCCTACGGTGTGTATGTATGCATGTTCCAGCCAAAATATTCATAGAAAGAAAGAAATGAAGAAAGAAAAACGAGAGAGCGAGCGAGCCCACCAGCCAGCCAGCCAGCGAACCAGCCCTTGCCCCAGAGTCCCGGCTGCCTGTGCCAAGAGCTCCCAGCATTCGCTCTTAATCCTGGGAGAAGGAACTGTGTTGATTGGGATGTGGGCTCGGTGGTCCTCTCGGCTCAGGGCTATCGAGCTCCAGACTTCAGACGGTGTGGCACGCGAGTTTTGCTATCCTCTTCCAGTCTTGAGCTCACTTGCCTCCCATGTGTTTCATGCAAGCTGCTATACGCGATGAACAAGAGCCAAACTGCGCACACACGTTCACGCACTACTCGCTAGCTCTAGCCCATCCATTTACATGCACATGCACGCAAAGAGACCCTGACGGATAAGCGAAGCAAGCCGTGGACGCCTCAATATGGCAAGGACACTTGTCCCTAGCGAGAAAAACAGCTCACTTTGTGACTAGGTCTTCTGCGAACATGTCCTCTATCGTGAAGCCCCATACATCGACCTCATGAAGTCCCATCCTCGAGCCCAATCTTAGACCAAGCGTCTCCACCATGCCGAGAAGCCTCTTGGCATACCTCGGCAGAGTTCCAATGGGCGACCGGGTCTTCAGCGGTCCCCTGGAAAGGCGGGTGATCCGCCATGCTCTACGTCTGCGTCTTCGCTCTTCAGCTGCTGGGAAGACATGATATGAGAGTCTCGTAGGCTTCTGGCCGCCTGGCCTCTAGACCTATGCGGCGCATCCACCCCCCAAGCCCCGTCCTCATCTCGACACCCCCGGAACATGACCGGCTGAGGGACTCGTGTACTGCCACCACAGCAGCGGGAGATGTGCGGATGGCCTGGAAAAAGGTTAGCGCAATAGAAGTGCACAGGAGAGGCTGTACCATAATATGGAAACATAAAGCTTCGGAGGGCAGAAACTGTCTCAAACGCAAAACTCCACATGGACGGTGTCCACAGAGCGCCCCCTTCCCTCAAGCCAAGCCATGACACCCTCCTTGCCTTCACAAATTCCCCGATCGGTGTTGTGAGTACCTTGGAGTAGATCTTGGTGGTCAAGGTCACCGAATGGTTCCTGAGTGAAGAAACGCAGTGGCTTCCCCGAAGTCCAGAGATAAGGACTTGATTTTCCACGTTCCTGGGGTTGGAGTCTTCTGGAATGAAGGGCTAACGCTTCGGGAGCTGTGCGCTATGTCTCTGGACGATGACAGAAGCACTCGTAGCCGACACGATCTGCCTAGAAAGCCGGCAAGTGTTGATTGTAGCGCCTGAGGGCAAAACGGACTGAATGGAGACAGTTAGACAGATAGAGAAAAGATAGAGAGAATGGCACACTATGCAGGTCGGAAACACAACCCTGCTCCCACGAGGTCCTCACACCGTCCCCGGCACTGAACAGCGCTTACCAACCTTCTCGACCAACTGTCTTTTTCTGCCAGGCTTACAGCTGTGGCAGAATGGGGGCTGTCCATCACAACTACTGCTGCCCATGGCACACATTGGTGTAAAGGCAGAGCTCCTGCGAGAGTGGCATTGCGGGGTTAGTGAATGCCTGATCTTAGAACTTTCAGGAGGACAAGTCGGCATGTGTGGTGATTGTTGCGGCCCGCGCTGTCCCGAATATAGACAACCCTTCCCTGCTCAGGGCTCCCTACGACCATGCTCTGCTGCACACGACTATGGGAAGCAGCCTCCAACACTGTACACCAGCTCTTCTATGAAACTCAGGCGGCCACGGCAAGCCATGTGTCTTGCTGGATCGTCATGCCTTCCACGGCTGCGGCTTTAGGGCCCACAGGTCGGGTGAAGGGTGCAAGCTGTTACCTTCTCAACAGGACGATCTTATATAGACAATGCAGAACCAGTCCCCGTCTACGGTCGCCCGAACAGGCAACTCACATCCCCGTGCCGCGAACCCATACTTCGCCTGTGTGTCGTATCCCCAGTCTGAGCTTTCCAGTCGAGAATAAGACGAGTTTTCGAAGCGTGGAAACATTCGCAAGAGACGCGCGACAAAAGAACTGAAGTTCATGCCGGCAGTCATGCAACCGCGCCCTCAGCAGAGCCCAAACGTGGGCATGTATGAAGAGCCATGCTTAACGATCTGCAACCACGCAATGGACTCACAAGCCCAAGAGGGTCCATAGTAAGCTTTGCCAGCGCATGGGAACGGTGGGCCCACGCACAAGAAGTCCTAAACAGAACCCATTGCCTTTGCTGGACTGTTGCCTTGCTAGGAGCTGCAAGCTACACACGGTTGTGCAGCATATTGAACCGGTGGCTGAATGGGCGCAGCGAGCCTGATGTCGAATGTGTCCCGGATTCAGATTGGATCGCAGCGATGGTCGACTTCTCCTGCAGGGAGAAGCCGTTGAATGGCAGAACCTCTTCTGTACTACCCGAGAGTGAACAGGGTAGATGCTTACTCGGTCTACAGGTTGAGTTCACACGTTGCACATTCGATGGCATTCACAAGGGAAAGAGGGACCCTCACTCTGCGACTGCACATCGCTCCCTCGCGGCGCCCTTCGACTGGCTCAGGGCGAAGCGCCCGCTCTGCGTGATGTAGAGGCCTCTCAGCATCTGCGGGTTCTGACACTTGGCGAGCACAATCCAACGAACATCAACGAACCCAATGTTTCGTGTTTGTGCCTGCACGTGGCGAGGTCTGGCAATCTTCGGCCCGAGTCTTTCGGCACGAGAACTGTTCCCGGACGCGCCTTCACCTGGCCGCCCGTTGGTGAAGACGTTCTCCCCCTGCACCTTTTGCAGTGAAGTGGACACATCTGACAAGTGTAGACGGTAGGTGTTCAGCAGATTTCTCCTTTCTACCGGACGTATTACTGGGGAGTTGCATCGCAGAAGCATCCTCCAAAAGCACACCGAAGAAAGACAACTCCTGCTTGGTGAAGCGGCCATGCGGGGGTCTTGGCCGCGGGATCATAGCATCAGGTCCAGGGCTCCAGTTCTGAGTAACGTCGAGGTGCCTAGTTGCGAATGATGCTTCAAGGACCCTCAACTTCTCTCTGACCCCGGCACCGCGTTGACTTCCCGGAACACGGCGCTGAGGCGACCAGCAAGCCCGAGACGCTCCTAGCAGCCAGGGACTCGGGACTGCATGCAACCCCCGCTGAGAGTTCCATCCGCACTACCCCCTAAACTTAACCAAATCGTTAATTTGGCCAAAGGTCGTCCATGAGCATCGCGAAGAGCATGTGGGCGTCGAGCCTTTGAAAGGCTCGAACATCTAGGGTTTGGGCTACCATCGGGATTCATAGGAAAATGGCCTGGGGTTCTGAGGCTTTACGCTTTCCGACTGTGAGATGCAAGAGGTTTCCCGTTGCTGCAGCCACCTTACACCTGTCGCAACGTGAACTAGCGAAAGGATCTCAAGTTTCGTTTCAGCTTCCGGTGTCCCGTATCTGGCCATTGCCTGTCTTGCAGGCGAGCCTGAGCTTTCGCTGCTTTCCCGCAGCCTGTAATGCTTAATTCTTCAATCCCGCTTGAACTGACAACCTTACGTAGGCCTAGGGAGCAAGAACAAACGTAGCTGCTTCAGACGCAGCAGTGCAGGAAATGATTCAATCATGCGGTGAGCTGTTCAACTTTCGCACACAAGGGCTTTCCTTCCGCACCTTCTTTACTGGAATGCTCACGGACGATCCAAACTCGAACCGTGTCAACTAGGCAGTTTTGTAAACCCGACAAGCCTCATCAAATGGATGCGATGCTTGTGCTCATGTTCCAAGCCGTCACTATGCGATCGAGGTTTGGCAAGGACTGCGCCTACAATCAGGCGGACCATAAGCCTGCTTAACCTGAACTCCAAAAAAAACATCCCTCCAAGCCACTTCTCGATCATCTTCACGACCCGGAGCTCGTCGAGGAGGCTGCTGGGAAGGAACCTCACGGTTCCCGCTGTCTCTTTGAACACCCTTTCCCCTCTTGCAACCGTTCCAAAGATCTGGGGACTCCGGGGATCCATCGTCCTGAGCCTGTAATTATCCAGCGGCCTTGGCTTCAGCAAGCGCGAGATTCAATGCTTCACTAGTTGCGGAGAGAGGGTCAGGACTTTCGTGCATTCAAGAAGGAACCTTGGACAGACTGCACGCTGCTGGTATTCCTGAAAGTCGGGTCCGTCATTCACTCCAATCCGCGAAAACACTACAAAATGGCGCAAGCCCAACACCGCCCACTCCGTAAAGCCCTGGAGGCTTCAATGACAAAACTGACAAACTCACGGCTCCACACTTTTCAGCAGGGAGCTTCAAGGCTATCGGCTCCTTCACATTCAGGGGCGAGTCCTGAGGGTCGGTCCGCTCCGTGACTACCAGGACTACCTACGCCAGCATTGTTTGAGAGGGCCTCCGAGACAACTCGTACGAGTGAGCCTTGCAAGAAAAATGCCCCCTTTCAGATTCCTCACATCGGCGCAGCTTTCCTGAACACTCGGAACATTTCTTGGAACGTTTCGTGCGCTCAAACCCTATAAATCATAGTCTCTCGAGAATCGTACGAGCCGGCGCAGCCAGCTACAACTCCTGGAACCCAGACGTGAGGCCAACTTGGAGTTCCAACAGGTTGCTGGCTCAGACAAGTATATAGCGCTGGTACCACCCCCCAGCTGCGCCTTGGAGTCCAGCACATCGTCGAGTGACGTCAGCATTCGCCTTTGAGGAACTCCGCACTTTTTGCCCAGAGCTCGTTTAGTGACCGGCAAGAGCGCTGAAGGGCTGTCTCGTCTTGCCCGCCAGGCCGCCGAGTCAGCCGAGTTGGCGCGTTCTTGCGTTGTAGGAACCGCTGGAGGTCCTCCGACTATGACTTTGAAGTACAAGCTGGGACTCTAGACTTGTACACCCGAAGAACGTCAGGTCCCTGCCCCGGGGCACCAAGCCCCGGACTCGGCGAACCATATCTCGCTCCTTGGAACGTCTCGCGTATCTTGTCTCGCGCACTTGCAGAATCGCTCTGGATGAGGAAGGTGCGGGGTTGCAGGGCTGAGGACCTGGCACGTGCCTTCTCTTTCATCGTGTTCCTTGGCAGGAGATGAGAGGCGCAAACATCTCGACAGCCCATTCCGCTGCCCCAAGCACCAACTCACCGCAATTGAGGCAAGGTGACAGCGTTCCACCGATCTTGCCGATCTGGGCGCCCAAGAGGGGCAGACAGGTGAGGATGATCACCTTGCAAATTGCAAGGGCAGATGGGCGACCTCTGCTTGAGTTCACAGTTCGGGCCGGGTTGCGTTACGTCACACATTGTGTTCGCCGTAACCGACTTGACCCAAGCCATCCACCGCATCTGTCAACAAAAACGCCGAATTCCAACTGAGTCACGATGATAAGCAACTGCTCCACTTCATTCTGCGGCTGGTTGGGGAAGGGCGCCGGCGTATACTCAGCGATTACCCAATTGAAGCAGGTCCTCAAGACGCTTTGAAGGCTAATCCTCCGCTTCGGCTGCGGGTCTGCGACAGGGAGGCACTGGTAGACACTGGTCACGGCATCTTTCATAAACGTGCACCGAGACCTGACCCAGCAGTATTGCAGACATGGTGCATATACTGCGAGAGTGGACTCCGGAAGGACATCTCGTAAAAATCAACCCAGTTGCCTGGGCACACAGCTTTGGGGTCTGTGGCTTCATATGATGCCTTGTGTCAGATCTGGCCTTGGGTCCGTGGGCTGGAAAAACCCTCAAGAAAGCCCAAAGCCCAAAAACTGCTTCCGGATTCTGACTGTTTTAAGATTCGGGCAACAACGCTGGATGAACCAGCCGCAGACCCAAACAGTGTGGCGCGTAAGACCCTACCCGCCCATCATTCTAACGGCCTGCGCAGCTTCGCAGTTCCTCAAAAAATTCCGATTGAGATAGCCTTCAACTTGCCTTCAACTCGGCAACCAAAAAACGAAAGGCCTTGGCACAGGTCTCAGAAGCTTGGCTTGGCTTGTCTCGGATTTTTCTCAGGCGGGGCTAGCCTCCCACACGTGTCGCGTCAGCAGACTGTCCAAGCGGCGGCGTGTTTCGCTTCGGGATCTTCTTTAGCAGATGCTGGCGTTGTAGGCTCCGGCCGGTTAGGCTCAGACTTCGTTCGCTGGGCTGGAGTGCTAGGCTAGTTCTTCCCTTTAGAAGCTTCTGCCGAGTTCTGCCCGGTCTTTCTTGCGTAAGCAGAGCTTGGAGCTCTGAGCCACCCTGACTGACAGTGCAAACGACGCTCTGGAATCTCAAGATCAGCCCGGATGCTCGTGGCTTCAATGCGCGTCCCGATGCGGCCCACATAAAACAGCAAGGACGCCAGCACGTGGTTGACGGCGAGCCTGAGGTCTTCGGGCGTGGTCTTGGGAGAGTTTTCAGTCCATGGAAACTCTTGGAAACACCGGCGACGTGCTTCCCCGCATTGACGAGGATGTGGCTGCATTTTGGAACATGCTTCCGGTGTGCTGCCAAGGCCTGTGGCGAATGTGCCCGAAGAGACTCGTGCTTGCGGCCGTGCCACACCGTCGCGATGCATTGGAGAATCGTCAGGTAAGGCACAGCTTTCCTTAGTTTTGCTGGTCAGAGACCTCTGCCGAACAACGAAGATCAGCGCCTGTGGATGGGAAAGAGCCCTTTGCGTAAAGACAGACAACGGCCAGGCAGCATGTTTCCCGCGGCAACGAGGCGGTTCTCGAAGACGGTGAGCACCTCGAATGATGCGGAATTTCTGCAAGGTGGCGCTCGACGCCAAGCATGTAAAATGCCATTGGGAGCAACCGAGGCAGAGAAACTTTGCAACACCTGAAACTTAAATGCAGCGGGCCAGTGCACTTCGAGGGCCTTCCGGTCTTCCTGCTACCCTTCAGCTATAAAGCCCCTGGTTGAAGCTCCCGATGTCGCGTTTCTAGATCTTCTCACGACGCTACTGCTCAAACCGACTCGGCTAGACCCCGTGTGATGTTGGAAGCTTGGGCGACGAACTCCGAATACCATTTTCGTCGCCAGTGAAAGTCTCAGCGGCTCTCTTCAGCTTCAGGATCCGAATCAGCCGCAGCAAGGTGAAGATGCGAAAGTGCTCCTTGCTACTGGACAATGCACGCATTCGCCTTTCGGCAGGGGATGAGCATCCTCCAGGACGCCCAGGAGAAGAACAACGTCCAAGACTACCAGGGACACCTGGTCGCAGGGGCGCGAGGTGCTTACTTCAATGCCGGATGATGGATTAAAGATGAGCAGTTGTAGTTGTAGTAAGTTTTGCAAGATGACCTCTGGACGGGCGGGCACGGGACAAGAGACTCAAAGGCTCAACCTGCATACAAGCTCGAGATAGCTTGGAGCATGGGTTCCTATTGGCAGTGAGACTGGTGCGGCGACTGCAGCGGCTTCTCATGTCGCTTGTCTGCATCTGAACTCACTCCGACCCTGGTAGGCATGCCCAAGCTCCGGGGCTCGAGCATCTATCGGAAATCTTGAACCTTGCATGCGCATAGCACAGGGAAACTTTGGATGTTTCCGTCGTATCCTTCTACATGAAGGTGGGGATAACATACTTCGGCTTTCCGAAATCACTTTCAGGCCCATGCTTCTCCTGACGGGCACTTCGGATAGGGCTTCGAGCAGTAAAGCCACATTCGCGCTGCTGTGGGACTAATTCGGGTGACTAGGGCACGCAGGGAACTGCTTGGGGTTCTCGATGAGAGAGCCATTTGCTGGGTGCTCGTGCAGTGCACCCGGCACATGCGACTTGCAAGATCCACCCCGAACGATTCGCGACGCTACGACGGAAGCCAGCTTTGATGTTCAATGAATCAGAGCCTTCGGGTTCAGGTTGGAGGAACACGGCTCGGCCCGCTTGAATTAACCGAGACCTACCGGGACCTACCCGAAGCCTCGTAAAGTGGACGCGAAGGGCATTTGTGGTGAGTCTGGCATACCTATAGCTTGCAATCTCGAAATCGCCACCAATGCAGCATAAGTCACACACATACTTCCTGGCCATCTGCAGCCTCCGATGCGCAGACCCACCCAGCCAGCTCTGCACTTTCAGTTTGTGTCTTTGGAGGCCGGGGGTGAAGAGAGGTTCGTGCATCACACCTATAAATTCCTGGGCTGTCAAAGCTCAGCTCCATCGCCCCTCAAACCAAAGCCTCCACAGAACCGTTTTCAACCCAGCGGCTTGGCCGGCACTTCCTTCTCTAGAGATGCCTGGGGCAGACTGCGTGCGAGCTCTTGACCTTCTGTGCCGCTCTTCCCTAGATTGGAAAGCTGCCCCAACATGCCCCTCAATATCCATCGAGCATGCCCCTATTCCTGACTCATCCTCTCTCTTTAAAGCCGGAGTTCCGGGACGAAGCTCATGAGAATGTCGAAGCTCCAAAGAAATGGCCCGGCCTGAAGGTTTCGCTTCTCAGATTGAGGGCCAAAACATGTTTCCCTGGCTTCGCCCTGGCTTGGAGCCATGATTCTGATGTATCTGCCGGTGTAAAGGGATACTTGTGCGCCTGCTCCTATCTTCTGATCTTGTCCTTGAGCTTTCGTGGCGCAAAGCTTCTTCGTGGCAAGTCGCGGGATGAATGCTAGGCTGTTAATTGAAAGCCCCGGGTCAACATTAAGGTTTGAGGCTGCAGGCTTCAGCTGAGCAGGTGAGGGAAAGGAGCCAAAAGGCTGTCCAGGTCAGAAAGGACTTGCTTCTGCTTCCTGTGTCGCAACGTGCCTCCGACCTCAAGAGGCCCCTCGCAGGGCCTGCCCTACCGTTAAAAACTACATCGCAGGCATCGTTGAATCCGTTGCTTCGGGATATGGCCTGGAAATAGAAGAAGGTCGGGCTCGGCGAAAGCGCCGAGTCGGGCCATGCCAGCGTAATCGGAATCAGTATGGTGTCCTCGGACATGCCAACATAGAAAACATGAAGACTCAGCCCGGACTGCCTTTGATCCCAGGGGCCAGAACAACGAGCACAAGGGTGATAATCTCCCAGATGTAGTTCCAGGTCGAGATTAAGGTCTCTCCTCACGTCTTGCATGCGTGACTGCAACCCCACGACTGATCCATAGCATCGTCCATCACTTCATGAGATGTACGGCTTCAACCACTCCACTGAAACAAAGCACCTGCATGCTTTTTTCTCTACGGAAGCACAATCCAGATGTTGGTGTTGTGAAGCACTGAAATGACGTGGCCGTGCTTATGCACGTGAACATATGCGTGTTGGGATGACAAATCAGGTTCTCAATACACTTGTGGTACATGAATGGTTGAAGCACAGGCGTGTGTAGATGTATGTATGTGTATAAGTATATATACATACATATATATATATATATATATATGCTACCCCCCCTCATGTACCCACGCCTTGTGCTTGAATCGTGTGCGAAAACTCAGTTAATCGCTATTTTACTTTGTATGGTAGCATAGCTGCTCATTGGTTGCAGTGCGCTTTACACGTACGAAAAAGTTCATGTGACCCAGAAAACGCAACACAAGGACCCTCTTTATGCT